GCTTCACGTCTTCGGAGAGCGCGTTGTGGCGAAGATCCCTCGCTCAAAGAGAAATACTCGTTACAAGTTTAGAGAGCGAGGGAAGGCCGGTGTATTCGTCGGGCACGACAATGAACGCAAAGGTTACTTCATATACTTTAGTGCCGGTGGCCCACGCATTCAGCGGACGTGCGACGTCGTCTTCATGCAAACCTTTCCCACATTTGCTGAAAAGCCTCCAGACACTACTTTACGTACGTCCATCGAGCCACTTAGAGCTGAGACGGATTCGCGGGGAATGCAAGCAGCGAACCCGACCGTGACAGTGCCTGCATTACGAGAAAGCCGCCCCATGAGGCCTGCTGTAATCGAAATTTTTGCACGGGGAAGCCGCCTTACGGGGCCTGCTGTGACCGAGCCTTCAATACGGGGAAGTCGTCCCACGGGGCCTGCTGTGACCGACCCACAATCTGCAGGTGGACCTCAAAGAGCCCTTGAAGATAGCGACTTAAGCCCAGCTCCGCGCGTCGTCAGAAATGCGGACGATCTGACTGACGCTGCTGTCGAACAAATCAACGGAACCTCCGAGCTCACCAGACGTCGACGGTCAGAGCGAATATCAAATCGACTCATCGGCCACGCTCTTGCAGTCCTGTGTGAAGTTGTGAAATAACCAATCACCCTAGCCGAGGCGAGAAGATCACCAAACTGGCCCTTATGGGAGACCGCCATCAGGGAGGAGATCGGGTCGCTGCGAGCCAACAACACCTTCGACGTTGTCACTCCTCCGGCTGGTGCCCACGTCATCGGCTGCACGGTAAAGTTCCGGGTGAAGCGCGACAGAAATTGCAACGTCGACCGGCTGCGCGCCAGACTCTGTGCTCAAGGCTCCTCTCAAGTGTTTCTCGTCGATTATGGTGAAACCTACTCGCCTGTGGCCCACCTAGTATCGGTACGGATCTTCCTCGCCCTCGCCACGAGATTCGGACTTCGCGTGTGCCAATGTGATGTACCGTCCGCGTACGTGAAGGCACCGCTGGATACCGTAATCTATATGCGCCAGCTCCGCGGCTTCGAGACAGGCGAGCCAGGAACGGTGTGGCGACTGAAGAAGGCGCTATATGGCCTCAAGCAAGCAGGGAAGGAGTGGCATGACGAGATAAATGCGTTCTTCATTGACTACGGATTTAGTGCTACCCGCGAAGACGCATGCGTATATGTCCTCCCCGACAATTCCGTGATGGTCCTCCTTTACGTGGACGACATCCTTATTGGATACTCAGACCAAGTTGCCATGTCGAAGCTAGTCGAGGCCTTGCGCGCCAAGTATGACGTGAAGTACCTGGGAGACATCACTTGGTTCCTCGGCATGCGCATCAAGGTCGACGCCGAGGCCAATACCACGACGATCGACCAGTTCCAGTTCGCAACAGAGATCCTACAGCGTTTTGCGATGGAGAACTGCAAACCATCCGTCCTTCCCCTAAATTCAGGTTGCTTCTTAACTTCGGGCGACGAAAAGGACGAATTGGCGGACCATATTCCCTACCGAGCCGCGGTAGGCGCCCTGCTGTACCTGAGTAGAGTTTCTCGACCAGATATATCTTTCGCAGTCAATCAAGTGGCTGCACACGTGAATCGACCGACGGTCTCGCACTGGACTGCCGTCAAGCAGATCTTGCGGTACGTTGCAGGTACCCTACACATGACATTGGTCTACAAGCAAGACGAGAGTGCTAAGCCAGTAGAGTTGTTCACCGACGCAGACTGGGCAAATAACACCGAGGACCGAAAATCCATCAGTGGCGTCGTCGTGCGAGTATATGGTTGTGCAGTCGCTTGGGTAACTCGGCGCCAGAGTGTTGTAGCGAAGTCGTCAACAGCTGTCGAGTTCATCGCAGCCTCGATCGGAGTTGAGGAAGCCCGATGGACACGCATGCTGTTACAGTCCTTATCTGGAAGAGCCGCCACCGCCATCGCTTCCCGCGTTGACAACCAATCCACGATAGCTCGGATCGTGAACGGTAAAAGCTCTGAAGCGCAGAAGACGGTGGACTGCATGTTTTTCGATATGAAAGATGCCTTCAAGCGAGGCGAGGTGGTCATCACTTACTGCCCTACTGAGGAAATGGTTGCCGACTTCTTGACAAAAGCTCTCAATCGGCTGCGACTCAAAAAGATGCTGGAGCTCATTGGTCTGCAAGTCGTCAAAAGGTAGTCAGTGTCGGTGCACATGTTGCGGGGAAGTGTTGACGTATACGCTCCTCTAGTTCAACATAGTGCACTCTCAGTCTTTAGTCCAGTCTAATTCATCAATTCACTTTTTAATTTCCCACCACAACAACAGATCATGGTGTTTGGTTCACCGTGCACGGTCTACCGGGAGCTGGATAACTGCAACTTCTCTCATCGCGCCCAACAAGGTATGATCATAGGAATTGGCAAAGAGACCAGGGGATATCGGGTCTACCTTCCTAAAGACAGGAAGGTCGTGACAACACAGCACGTCAGAAGCATCAAGCCTCTGGAAAAGACCCAGAGTGAACAGATACAACGACTGTACCTGAGCGAGGACGATGCTGCAGCTCAGGAGGAGCTTGAGGTCGAGACTGCGAGGCCCGCTGAGGCGGGGGCTGCTGGAGACGCACCGGCCACGAGTGGCCGCGCGAGTGCCAGGAAGAAGAAGCGCAATCGAAAGAAGAAGTCGTGGACCAGAGAGCGACTAGTGACTAGGTCGGTGGGGCGTCAGGCTGACGATGGTGCGGATGAGTCCGCGCAAGTCAAGATGAGCACTCAGAACGTCGTGAACAACGTGCTGGACGCGCACCCTATAAAATATGGGAAAGCAATGCGTAGTCCCTACAAGGAAGGATGGGTCAAAGCGATCAACGAGGAATTCAAGGCACAGGAGGCAAACGGTGTCTGGAAGGTCGTGTGCGCCCCGCGAGGTGTGCACGTTTTTCACACGCAATGGTTTTTTAAAACCAAAAGAGACGCAGATGGCCTTATCGAGAGGTTGAAGGCACGTTAGTGGCGTGCGAGGATGAACAAGAATTCGGAGTCAGCTACTGGATCTCGTTTGCTGCTGTTATTGAGGTGACGACCGTCAAGGTCATCTTCGTTCTGACAAGAAAGTGGGGCGCCCCAGCGAAGCACGGTGGCGTGCCTAACGCCTACGTCAAGGCGTCCAAGGAGGAGCTAGACATCTTCGTCAGGACCCTGAAGTTGAAGATCTCAGCGGAAGTGTTGCAGCGTTTGGGAGTCACGTCCAAGGACCAGCTGATGCTGGAACTGCAGAAGACGCTTTATGGACTAAAGCAAGCCGGCAGGCTGGAGCAAATTTCTGCACCACAAGCTCGTTGAACTTGGCTTCGCGCAGAGCATGGTAGATCTATAAGTCTACTACAGACACAGAGAAGGAGTACTGGCTGTTGTTGGCGTGTACGTCGACGATCTGTTGGTCACTGGGACCGAACAGAGCGCAGTGGACGCTTTCTTCGGTGAATGAGCTCGCTCTCCATCAATGATCTGGGTAAAGCTTAAAAGCTTCTTGGGATGCGCGTGAACTATGACGACAAGGAGGGCTACGAGCTGGACCACGAGCCGACGATTAACGACACGCTGTTAGCGTTTGGGATGGACAAGGCACACGGAGTGTGGACGCTAATCAGCGATGAATTGAACGAAGCTCCGGACTCGGAGGCGGAACTGTTACCGATCTCGGGTCCGATGAAGACTGACACCGCTCCAGGTTCCAGTCTCTCGTCGGCAGTCTTTTGTGGATTGCAAGGTGTACTCGACCGGACATTGCCTTCGCAGTGCACAAGGCGACGCACAGTGCGCGCTGTCCGAGCGTGCATGATTGGAAACTCGCCAAGCGAGTCATTAGATATTTGGCAGGCACCCGTGGGTTGCGCCTGTGTATGCGAGGATCGGGAGAAGCTCGTGAAGAGCTACATGTAGAAGTAGTCGGAAACAGCGACGCGGACCTCGTCGCAGATAAGGAAGATTGCAAGTCCGTGACAGGGGGTTTCGTCACGATCGACGGCATGGCAATTGCATGGATGTGTCGGAAGCAGGGTGGCGGAGAAATTTCTCGACGAGATGGAGGTTGCATGTGTGCGCCCTTTCGTGCTGCGTGTCGACAACCAAGCCGCACTGAAGCAGTGGGAGGGCAAGAATCTTCGTCGAAGAGAAGCACATCGATCTGCGTATCAAGATTGTGGTATGCAATACGAAGGCCGGAGTGCTGAAGCCTGCGTACTGGCAGAGCGAGGAGATGCCAGCCGACCTGCTGACTAAGGTGCCACCTGCGCCAAGACTGGATAAGCTGCGCGCGTTAGTTGGTTTGAGCGAAGGTAAGATCTGATGAGCACGAGGAGTCGCGCTACTCGACGAGGAGGAGTGCTGAACTGGAACGGGATTGGCTGAAGGGCCGGGCGTCGAGCAGCTGCGCTGGACCCCAGAGCAGCAGAAGAAGTCGAACTGCGCCGCCAAGCACAAGTAGAGCGAGCAGTATACATAGCAGTCGCAAAAGTCAGCTTCGAGCAAAACGAGAGCCATCGGTCGGGATAAGAGAGCCGTCTGACGGGTAAACTACACCGGCCCAGAAGGATCAAGCCGATAAGGGTTTTCAGCATGTGCCTACAGACCATCCACAAGTTCAAAGCAGCCCTGAGCATGTGAAATGGGAGTTAGAACTCTCTACCTTCGCTTTTAAAATGAAAAGTTCGGTATCCTCTTTAATATATTTAAAGAATTTATTCTAATTAAAATTTTCTTCAGAAGAATTATAGATACCGGTAGTATTAGATCTTAAATTACCTCGAAGTATTATACTCCCGTACTATAAAAAGCCTTCACTATCATGATCCTGGGGATCACTGCATAAAACGAAGAGGCAACCTGAGATATTTAATGCCCTCAATTACAGTTGGTTTATGATCGATACACGCCGTTATTTCAGCGTTGTCACTTATGGTTGGCTCGACACAAGTCATTGATGGGGCTTACCAGCTCAACTAGCACAACACTGAGTTTATTTTCTCGTGCTTCGCCCGCATTTCCTCCACAGAGTCAGGAAGCGCCTTATTGCTGAAATCACGCACCAGTACAGAGCTAATCGTACCAAGAAGCATCATACTAGCGGTAATAGCCAACAGCAGCTTTACATGAACCGGTGGCCCGATAAGATATCCGTTGACAAACTGCGCGGCAACAGATCCTGCTCTCCCAGCAGCCGAGAGTGTACCCATACCAGTTGTACGCACGTCTGTAGGGAACGATTCAGCAGACATGAGATCGATGGCGTTCCAGCCTGCAGTGCTGAAAGTGTTGAAGCCGCTGGCTAGCAGGACAATAGCTGCAGCACCCGACGCAGAGGAGTTGGCGTAAGCAAACCCAGTGGCGCAACCAGCCGAAAGCAGCATGGAAATCGCGAGAATCCGACGCCCACCGAGACGATCCATTAGCAATGCGGTCATGACATTGCCTGGAAGATTCGCAGCGGCGTAGATGAAAGCGTTTGCAAACGGATCCTCGAGGCCAATTCGCTTGAACAACATAGTAATCCACGTGGCGAGACCGTACGACCCGAAACTCAAGCAAAACCACGACATCAACAGCGACATTGTCGTGCCACGCAGCACCGGATCAAACAGCATTCCATACGCATTTAGCGTGCTACTCCGCGTCTGAATTCCGGTATCTAATGGCGCAAAGACGTTCATGTCGCTAGCACCAGTGTTTTGGTGCGTTAACAGAGAGCTTGACTCGGTAGCGTGAGCTGCGTCGTCTCCGTTGGTCGTTTTTATTGTGTCCACAACTTTTTCTGCGTCGGTGAGCAGCCGACGACGAGCGAAGAATTGTGCGCTTTCAGGGACGTATTTGTACGTAAGTGTCCAGCATACGAAGCTTGGTAGCGACACGATGGCTGCGAACGCTCGCCACGAACACATTGCATGGGGCCGGCCCAGCATGAACCAAGCCAATCCAGCCGTAAAGACGGCACCATTTTCACATCAGTAAGAATAGGAAGACAAGCGAAAGCTGCTTCACATACCACCATCCAGTACGCAGCTACTATTGTGACGTAGTAGCCTCGACGATTAGCAGGTACATGCTCCGAGCACAATGTGAATATCGCTGGTACAGTGCCTCCAATGCCTAGAGCAAAGCACCGGGAAATTTGTCAATACGTTAATTGAGTTCCTGCAATTTTTGAGCACATTCCGATACCAGCACATGTCCGAAAAGCGATCAAAGCGTACACATTTGGTGACAAGGCCGACATGAGTCCGAAGATCCCGTTCAACAGCAGCGAATAGAGCAAACTTTTGCGCCGACCAATTTGATCACTAAGTGACCCGAACAGAAGCCCTCCAGTGAACATCCCAGCGAAGATGGCAGCCGCCAGCAAACCTACACATGCGTTCAGTCAGCTTTTTTTTTTAATGCGTTGTGGCAACGCGTCTTACTCTGTTGCGTCCGAGTCAGCACGACGCCTTCCTTGTCTTCGTACACCGCCAGAATGTACCCAATGGAGAGGATCTCGACCGCATCAGCGGCATTACCCAGACCTAAAATACTGCACCATTTGCCTTTCAGCATGTGTCACACGTTCGAATCCTGGCAACTTTTGCCACGTACAGCACGACGCGAAGCTGGAAAAAGCCGTCGCTGATATTTGCAATTGCCTACGCAGATCGTTTAGCAACACAAAGCGCCATAAATACTGGCGAGTGCACTGTTCGTACGTGTCGCAGCTGCTCGATCCGCAACAACCTCGCACTGCCAAAACCTTCATCTGCCATCGTGCCACCCAAATTGAAACTGGGAAGGTTTTGACTACTGTACCATTTCTTAGAGCTTTGATTACCCAATCACACGTCAGGAGCTCACTTATCTTGGTTGGCAAGAATGGGACGACGACGCTCCAAGTGGAAGGGCAACAAGCGCCTGGATCGTGGCAGTCAATTGTTGCATCTTGCCAAGGCCGGAGATTGTGTAGCGCTGAGAACTCTTTTAGATGAATCAAACGAGGAATCGAGCGAGTTCCTGCAGCTCACACAGGACCACAATGGCTCGACGGCGTTGCACCTCGCGGCCAGTGAAGGACAGTGCGAGGTGGTGCAATTGCTGCTGCAACTCGGGGCCGGCGAGGTTCATTTAGCTGGTGGTCGAAAGAAATATGCACGTACGCCGTTGCATGAGGCAGCGATCAATGGACACTTGGACGTCTGTCGGCTACTGGTAAACTTCGGCTATCTGGTGGACTGCCACACCACGAGAGGACGCACACCGCTTATGTATGCTGTGAAAGGCAACTTTGTGGAGTTAGCACGATACTTTGTCAAAGAAGCAGGCGCCAATGTGAACGAACAGAACGAGATGGGGGTGACCGCAGTGTACATTGCATGTCAGGACGGACAGGAGGACATGGTGAAGTTCCTTGTCCAAGAAGCGCAAGCGGATGTGAATTTGTGCAATCGAACCAACCACGCACCTCTTCATGAAGCAGTTGCTGGAGGGTTTACGGCCGTGGTGGACTTCTTGTTGCGCAACGGAGCAGACAAATACGTCGTGGATAAAATGGGAGTCACGGTGTGGCACGAGGCTGCTGGAAACGGGTCTGTGGACATGCTGGAGCTGCTAGTCCGGCATGACGTATCACTCCACCCGAACGGCCAAGAACAAGTAGATAAGGTGATGGCTCGACATCCGTTCCACTATGCGGCGGTGGAGGGTAAGGCAGACTTTGTGCAAGCACTTTTGAAAAAAGAGCTTGTTGACGTCAACTTCGTGGATAGTGATGGCTGCACTGCCCTCTACTATGTTGCAGCGAACGGCCATGTGGCTGTCATGCAAGTGCTCCTGAGTTTTAGTGGTGACCCAAACGTTGTCTCCATCCGTCGATCGCCTTTACATTGCGCAGTCGAATGGCATCGTGCTGAGTGCGTGAAGCTACTGCTTCAGTATGGAGCACTATTGGATATGACGGACAAAGACGGTCTAACGCCTGCCAAGATGGCAGAGGAAAAAGGCTTTTTCGACTTAGTTGCGCTACTCAAAGTCGGAAGGGAAACGGCTCCGTAAACCCCAACTTGGGTTTATGGCTTGAGGCACGTAGAAGAAGTTGAGACGAACTTTGGAAGCGAAGTGATCTTGAAAAAGTGGTGCAGCTCAAGTTCTCCAACATGAAGTTGACCGGATGCACGTCCACTTGATCGATAGATTTTGTTTTTCATGTTGACTGCACAACAAGAGTCTCGTCTTTCCTATCTTCATCCAAACTCAGATCTTCTCGCTAAGTGCTGAGATTCTCCACCGCTGATTTTCATTTCTAGACTATTCAACGAATGGGACGACGTCCAAAGGCGTGGATGGAGCCAATCAGTGAAGCTGTCCTACCTGGCCCCATGTCTGACGTTGCGAGCTTCGACCAAAACTGAAGCAGCCGCCACGCACTTCAGAATCGCATTTACAGACAAGCAGTGAAGCTAAGGAACAACAAGATCAAACAAACCATACACCTATCTACGATGCCTGTCGAGATCAACACCCCCGAAGAGTTCAACGCCGCTATCGGCGAGAAGAAGCTGACGGTCGTGCAGTTCTCTGCGCCGTGGTGCGGCGGCTGCAAGATGGTGGCCCCCAAGGTGACCAAACTGATGGAGTCGGACTTCGCTGACGTCAAGTTCCTCAAGGTGAGCGCGGAGGAGCTAGAGGATTTCTGCGAGGAGATCGACGTCGACAGCTTCCCAACGTTCCGCGTGTACAAGGACGGCGAAGTGGCGGCGTCTTACGTGAGCTCCAAGTTTGAGAAGGTAGAGCAGTTCATCCGTGAGAATGCGAAGTAAGCGTGACGGCGATTTGCGACCGTCTATCAAAGCTCGCGCATGGTGATCTACAGGCTTGATGACCTACGCTAAGATGGTGGAGAGCGAGTGAGTTTGGTCCCCGGCATTGCGTATCGGCAGTGGACTGAAGGATGCTACTAATATATTGAAATAGGAAACCATTTTAACGAAGACCCTGAGCCTCAGGCTCATTCTCAACCGGAAATATAGACCGCATGCGGTCCCAGGAGGACAAATAGAGTCTTCTAATTGGCTTACGGGGTAGGTGGTCGCATGCGACGAAGTTCATAAAAAGACGCTCATGCGGCAATTTGCCCGCATGCGCTAAACTTGCCGCACAGTAGAGTGTAGGGGTCGAGTGAAGAATAACCAATCAAAATGATTTGTGACTCACGATCTTATGGGGGTGTCTGCTTCAACCTTAAAAAGATCACTTCCTCTTTCGTTCGCGAGGTACACATTCGTTCACTACCATGTCTAACTTACAACTATGTACTACTTATTAATAAAGCTGAAGCGAAAAGGCAAAACGAGTTTTTTTATTTGGTTTTACCTGTTCTCGCATCATTTTTGGTCAGCAACGATAATAGAAGCGATGAAATGCAGACAGTTCGTGGCGTACGCGCTGCCCGTCCGGGAGATGACATTCTGTATGCAGCAACATGACTAGTGAGCTGCTAGTAAAATACATATACATGTAGTTCAGGTTCACTTTCTCTTTGCTGGTGGGGTCTTGGAATGTGCCGGCTGAGATCACTAAATATTTATTTGTAACCACCAGCTGTCGTTATTGATTGCTCGCAGTCGCTGGTTTTGGTCTCAACCGATGCGGCCGCACGTTACAAAGTCATGCGCTGCGGTGCGGTGCGGTCGTGCCGGTTGAGAATCAGCCTGAGCCAGTGTTATTATAAAGCACGTGTTGTTACAGCTTAGCTCGTGGTGAAGGGGGATTTCGTCTTGAGTGGTAGCAACTGCTTCCACACTATACCAGGAAGGCGCTACAGAT